GTAATCACCCATAATGCACATACAGGAAGGTACACACATTTTAGATGTCAACGAGACACACGTTTACATATGTATACAACATGTAATCACCCATATCAAGATACAGAACATTCCCAGGTCCCCAGAGAGGGTCTTTATACCCCTTCCTAGTCACAGTCCCCAAAGGTAATTGCTGTTCTACCTTCTGTCACCCTACCTCATAAAAATTTTGCCTGAATTTCATATACATGTCATTTTACAGAACACTTTAGAATCCTGCTTGTTTTGCAAACCTTAAAGCCTGTGGTATTTACCCATGTTTTCCCCTTATTTGTTTTAAATTTTTTTATTTTTTTGAGATGGACTCTCACTGTCGCCAGGCTGGAGTGCAGTGGCATGATCTCGGCTCACTGCAACCTCCACCTTCTGGGTTCAAGTGATTCTCTTGCCTCAGCCTCCTGCGTAGCTGGGAGTACAGGTGTGAGCCACCATGCCCAGCTAATTTTTGTATTTTTAGTAAAGATGGGGTTTCATCCTGTTGACCGGGATAGTCTTGATCTTTTGACCTCATGATCTGCCCACCTTGGCCTCCCAAAGTGCTGGGATTACAGGCGTGAGCCTGGCCTATCCGTGTTTTTTTCTTCTTGCCGTACAAATATTTTTTACTTACAATGGGGATACATCCTGATAAACCCATCATTAGTCAAAAATACTGTAAGTCAAAGTTGCATTTAGGTTAGGTGTGGTGGCACATACTTGTAATCTGAGCACTTTGTGGGGCTGAGGCAGAAGGATGGCCTGGGCCCAGGAGTTTTAGACTAGCCTGAGCAACATGGTGAAAACTATCTCTCCAAAAACAGAACATAAAACCCAACAAAAAAAATTAGATGGGCCCGGCAGTGTGGGCCTGTAGATCTAGCTACTTGGGAGGCTGAGGTGGGAGGGTCACTTGAGCCGGGAGGGCAGGCTGCATTGAGCCATGATTGCACCAGTGCACTCCAGCCTGGGTGACAAAGTAAGACCCTGTCTCAAAAACAAAAGAAATTGGCTGGGTGCAGTGGTTCATGCTTCCCAACACTTTGGGAGGTTGAGGCAGGTAGATCATGAGGTCAGGAAATCGAGACCATACTGGCCAATGTGGTGAAACGCTGTCTCTACTAAAAATAAATATAAAAAATTAGCTAGGTGTGGTGAGACGTGCCTGTAACCCCAACCACTTGGGAGGCTGAGGCAGGAGAACCGTTTGAACACGGGAGACGGAGATTGCAGTGAGCTGAGATCGTGCCACGGCACTCCAGCCTGGCGACAGAGCAAAACCATGGCGACAGAGCATCAAAACAAACAAAAACAAAAGGAATTGCACTGAATACTCTGATAAATGTATCACTTACTGTGAAGTTTAAAAACTAAGTGGAACCATCACAAATGAAACCATCCTATGTTGGAGACTATTTTTGCAGTTTGTGTATTGCTGTATTGTATGCTATTATGTGAATACGCCACAATTTATGTGTCAAGTGTAGTGCTGATGGACATCTGATGGTTTCCAGGTTCTGACTATTGAGGAGGAAGCTATTGCAAACATTTACATATAAGTCTTTCATTTCCATTGAGTAGATACCTAGGAGTAGAATTGCCAGGT